TAAAACTGGTTCCATTTAAATGAGGCTGGGAGAAGTCTAAGATGCTTTCTTCTCAGGGTTCAGTCTGAATAAGTCACAGGTGAGATTTACTAAGTTAGGAACATGAAAGAAATACAGTGAGACATGTTTGCCTATGTGACATCCAAGTAGAGTTGTCCAAAAGACAACTTGACCAAAGTCAACTTGAAACTCAAGAAGTACAGGATGGAGGCTGGGCATGGTGGCTCACGCCTGTAATCCCAACACTTTGGGAGGCCGAGGCGGCTGGATCACAAGGTCAAGAGATTGAGACCATTCTAGCCAACATGGTGAAATCCCGTCTCTACTAAAAATACAAAAATTAGCCAGGTGTGGTGGCGTGCGTCTATAGTCCCAGCTACTCAGGAGGCTGAGGCAGGAGAATTGCTTTAACCTGGGAGGCAGAGGTTGCAGTGAGCAGAGATCACACCACCGCACTCCAGCCTGGCAACAGAGTGAGACTCCGTCAAAAAAAAAAAAAAGAAGAGGAGGAGGAGGAGGAGGAGAGGAAGAAGAAGAAGAAGAAGAAGAAGAAGAAGGAGAAGGAGAAGGAGAAGGAGAAGGAGAAGGAGAAGGAGAGAAGCAGCAGCAGCAGAAGCAGTAGTACAGGATGGAAATATAGACTTGGGAGTTCCAGTCTATAACTGTGTGTCACTCAGGTGGATTTAAACGAGCCATTTGTTGAAAGGGCACTAGGTGGGTCACGGGATTGCCAGGCAAAAGACCCAAGCTTGGAAAATAGGCAGGAACAATGAGAGGCCAGTCCACCAGAGCACAGGCCAAAGTCAGAAGCCAGAACCAGTCCCACAAGACCACTGCTGCTGTCATCATTATTGGACATGGGATGTCACCACTACCAGTACCCACACCACGAGAGTCCCTGGGCATGGGGTAAAGCTGACCCTGCTCTCCTGTCACCATTGCCACTGGCATGAATTCTCTATGATTCTATTTCTCTGAATCACTCCAGAATCTACATTTCTGGAAGATGCTTGGCCAGGCCGAGGCCACATGCCTCTGTCTTAGCTAGAGAGCTGGGAAAGCAAAGATCCAACCTCTATACTGTCTGTCATGAAAGATGGGCTCTGCTTACTTCTAAGACTTGTAACATAAGAAGGAGATTCTGTTTCTGGGCAACTCCGAATTATCAAGATCTCATTCAAGTGGCCACGGAGGCCACCAGGAAGAGTAACAGGAGAAATGGGCATAGGCTGAGCTGCTTTTATACTTAAGTAGGGAATGAAGGAAAGGGAGTATAATAAGGATACTACGAAGGAGTCATGTGAGGTGTAGCAAGAAACTGGAAGAGTGTAGCCCATAAGAGCCAACAGAGGAAAGGGTTGCAGGGGCAGGATGATCAACGATGCCAAATGACACCATGTGGTCGACTGCAGGGGCAAGACGATTGACAATGCCAAATGACACTGTGTGGTCATATAAATTAAGCCTGAAAATTCCCAATGGATTTGTCCATTTGTAAGTTCTGTGTCACTTTGGTGAAAGTATTTTCAGTAGAAATTTTGGGGAGAGGTCAGATGACACCAGATTTAAGGAACAACTGAAGACAAGGAAGTGGAGAGGGAGAGTAAAGCCTACTCCTAGAAGCTTGGTTGGAGGCAAGAAAAATCAGTAGCATGGCATATAGGATTCAAATTGGATTTTCTTTTTAAGGTTGGGCTAGTTGATCAAGTTTATATACTGAGATCAAAGAGTAAGGGAGAGGAAAAAGTTGAATATAAATGAAAGAAAGAGATAAGTGAAGGAGCAGATTTCCCAAAGAGGCAAAAAGGAATGAAATACAGATCACAGTGAAAGGATTAACTTTGTATTTGAAGACAGACCTTGCCACTTCTGAAACAGAAAGGATGGGAGAGATTCAAATGTTTGGAGGGGACAGAAAATTGAGGCAGTTCCCCCATGGCCTTTTATTTTATTTTTTTAAAAGAGATGGGGAGTCTCTCGTTCCATTGCTGAGGCTGGAGTGCACTGCCATAACCATAGTTCACTGTAGCCTTGAACTCCTGGGCTCCAGAGATCCTCCTGCCTCAGCCACCCAAGTAGCTGGCACCCATAGCCTTTATTTTTTCTGTGAAGCAGAATGGGGGATGGTGGGAGAGGCTGACATGTGGAAGGGTTGCTGGGTACACTGAGGGCTCTGCTGAGGCGAGAGTGAATTTATAGGAGCTCTGTACTGAGCGCACATTAAGTTAGCTTAAGCCATTTATTCTAGATAAAAACTGACTCCTAGTCCCCCAAGATCAGAGGGCCTCAGAAAGTGCCTGGGGCAGGGTGTGGTGGCTCACACCTGTAATCCCAGCACTTTGGGAGGACAAGATGAAGGACTGCTTGGGCTCAGGAGTTCAAGATCAACCTCTGCAACACAGGGAGACCCCATCTCCACACACACACACACACAAAATTAATTAGCCAGATATGTTAGTGCATACTTGAGCCTTGGAGGCTGCAGTAAGCTATGATGACACCACTGTACTCCAGCCTGAGTAACAGTGAGTGACACCCTGTCAAAAAAAAAAAAAAAAGAAGAAACGGGGGGGTGCCTGGGAAGCTGCCAGGAAGCAGACAGTAGTCTCACCATTTCTGGTCTCTGCCTCTCCATGCTTCATTCTGTGTCCCCAGATGGTCTTTTTTCCTTTTCTCATTCATCATAGTAGGTGGGAGGTACCATAGCTCCTAAGTCTATGTCTCTTTTGCTTAAGAAACCAGTCCAGTTAGAATCATAATCTGTTAGCTCTAATCCCAGATTTTCAGGAGAACATCTGCTTCACACAGCTTAGATCAGGAATCCACTCACAGTTCAATAAACTGCAACTACAGTGCTAGGGGTCACATAAGATGAACATGGCCCTGGGGCCTGTGGATCCATAGTGTGGGTGTGGAAACTATAATTCCCACAGAATAGGGTTCATGGGCTAAACTAACCTAGATGGTGTCCACTTAAGTGTGCAGGATTCGGTGACGTCCTTTATGCTGGTTTAGGACGGGAGAGTAGAGAAGGTAGATAGCTGGCATGACCAGGGCTGTGATTTTTACAGAGTCAGTGCAAGCATATTAACAAAAATGTGATTTAAAGTGACTGACCAAGGATCTGGACTAAGTAGGAAAACAGGTGAAGCCTGGAAGATACTGATAAACCATGAGGTGGCTGAGATTCATGATATAGAAGAGCTGGTGGTATGCTGGGAATGGGGAATTCTAAAGGTTATTGAATACTGGAGTTGGACTTGTCACTCATGGGCACACTGCTTATGTTCCAACACTCCCATACACACTTGGTTCTCAAAAGCTATTATGGGGCCCTTGATGGTGAGTTGTTTTAGAGAGCAAGCCCGACTCCTTCCCCTACTACTCTGAACTTCTGCACTCTGAAACCGAGGCTATACTGATCCCTCACTTTTTTCAGTTACTATAAGCAATAGGTGTAACAAACTCATACTGAGACAGTGTTGTGGCCCAGGCTGAGTGGCAAGGTGAGCAGAGGGGACATCAAAAGGGAAAGGAGTTAGAAAGGAGAGGCTGAGAATGTGCAAATGTAAATCAGCCAACAACAAAAAGTTAACTGGGAAACTTCTGAGACCAGCTTAGGAGGGATAGACATGACATGTTTATATCATTCAGAGCCAAAGCTTTCTTTGTGTGTACTGTGTCCAGCTACAAAGAGGGAGTGAGGAAACAGAGTAGGTCTAAGATAAGCCTTTTCCCATTAGTGCTGATGGAAAAGAGGGTCACGTGGAAGCCCCAAGACTGATAAGGATGAAGGAGGTCTGGCCATGTCTAGGGTTAATAACCATAATAACCACAATTACAGCTTCCATGTATGGACTACTTCCTAGTCCCAGGTACTCTGCTGGTTACTTGACATGGCTTAGTTGGAATCGTATGAAATTGAAGGTATTGGACTGTTTAGAAACTACAAAAATAGCAATTTCATACGGTTCAACGTAACACTATCTCAGTTCATCCTTACCACAACGGCTCCAAGAAACACGTATTACTGTCTCCACCTCAAAGAGGAGAAATCAGACTCACAAAGTGAAAGTCATTGTTTAAGGCTGCACCATCAGTAAGTGCCAAACCTAAGCTTTAGACCCAGATTGACTAGAAGGCTAGGGTGCTTTCCATCACGCTGCAGCTACCGGGGAACAAATAAGTTAAATGTCAGAATTTTTAAAAGCCCGAGGTGTTCGACTTCCACTATCGAACCAGAGAATCCAGCAGTCAGCAGAGCCTCAGGACTTCCCTCAGTCTCTACCTGCCAGCCCCAGCCTCCAGCGAGGGGAATCCCAGCCTACAAGCAATCTGGGTTGCCCTCCCTGCTCGTTCCTCCCAACCACACGGGGCGCTAAATGAAAGCATTCTCCTTTGGAAGCTTCCCCGCACGCCCCCAGAGTCCCTCTTCCTTCTCCACTGCCTCCCCGACCCACGGCGCAGGC